AATGCAATCTCGACAAAAACTCGAAAAATAGAAAATATTTCGACAGCGAATCGTTTTGCCGTTCTAGCCGAAGACGATAAAAATACCAGACCCGCCCCCACCCAGAAACCGCCACCCATATTTCTGCGTGAAAAAAATTCAAACGCTCTTATATACTCCCTAACACAAAGTATTGGGAAAGATTCATTCCATGTTGTGCCTCTTCGTAAAGGAAATGTCGATGAAACAAAAATCTCGATCAACGAAGAAAAACATTACAGAGCAGTTGTAAACAACTTCGAAAAAAATGGAAAAAATTTTTACACCTATCAATTAAAAAGTGCCAAAGGTTTAACAGTAGTTATAAGAGGAATAGAACCAGATTTGAATACAGCAGAAATTAAAGAAGCACTTGAAGAAAAAGGATTTAAATCAAAATCTATATACAACATTTAAAACCGCGATAAAGTTTCGCACCACTTTATAAAATAGAGCTTGAACCTGAAGGAAAGAAACTCAAATCGAACGAGGCTCATCCAATTTATTCCCTACAATTCCTACTACACAGAAAAATATCAGTAGAAGAACCGCACAAGCGTAAAAACCCGGTGCAGTGTACTAATTGTCAGGAATATGGACATTCGAAGTCCTATTGCACACTTCGTAGTGTTTGTGTTGCATGTGGCGACTTTCACCGCACTAAAGATTGCACATCAAATAAGAAGGACCCAACAACAAAAAAATGCGGAAATTGTGGAGGCAACCACACCGCTAATTATAAAGGATGTGTAGTATACACTACCGAAAAACAAAGAATGTTTCCAGCATTGCGTCCCCGCTCTCAGTCAGTAATCCCACCACACCCTTCTCAAATGCGATCTCAGCCAAATGCTCCATCTGACTCCAACAATACGTGTACACAAATATCATATGCAAACGCTGTTAGAGGATTCACTGGCCCAAGCAACGTCCAAAATGAAAACTCTACTAAACCATCTTCAAATATTGAAAACATGATCCAACTGTTTATGGAAAACATGACACAATTTATGAACACCATGCAAAATATGATGCAGGGAATGATTCAAAATCAAAATATCTTACTTTCAATCCTATCCAAACCATGAATGCAATCAAAATTTGCTTCTGGAATGCTAACGGCTTAAGCCAACATAAAAACGAACTTGTATTGTTTTTACAATCACATCAAATTGACGTCATGCTGATCTCAGAAACCCATTTTAACGAGAAAAGCTACTTTAAGATACCTGGTTACATACTCTACGATTCAAAACACCCCAGTGGACGAGCAAGAGGCGGATCTGCTATCCTCATAAAAAACCACATTAAACACTTCCCAACTCAAACCCTTGAAGCAGAATATATGCAGGCGACAAGCATATGTCTAGAAGAATACATAAAAGGTCTGAATATAACCTCAATCTATTGTCCACCAAGGTATAAAATAACGGAACTTTAATTCGAAGAATATTTTACAAAGCTTGGACCCAAGTTCATAGCGGCCGGCGACTTCAATGCCAAACACACATTCTGGGGCTCAAGACTTATATCACCAAAAGGAAAATCCCTGATGAACGTGATATCAAAACTCGACCTTAACATATCCTCCACTGGCACACCAACATACTGGCCTTCAGATCGGAAAAAAACTCCAGACGTCATTGATTTTGCGGTAACAAAGAATTTAAAAAGAGATCAAATTGCTACCGAGGCACCCTTAGAACTCTCCTCTGATCACACGCCGACTTTTATTCTGATTAGAAACACAACAATAGTCAATCCAAAATCTGAAGAAAAGCTCACAAACCAGCACACAAATTGGCTAAAATTTAAAAAATATGTTAGCTCACATATTAACACCGACATTTCCCTAAAATCAAATATTGAAATTGACAAGGCAGTCCAGGACTTCACAGCTTTACTTCAACAAGCCGCTCGAATATCAACCCCACTCCCAATACCCCACAAACCTATAAACTACCATACATCGAACGAAATTGCAACCCTTATACAGGAGAAACGACAAGTACGACGCCAATGGCAACAACAACGATCCCCCCGTATTAAAAAACAACTCAAGAATCTGACGAAAGCACTTCAGAGATTACTCGAAGAAAAAAATCGCATAGAATACGAAAATTTTATTTCACAGTTGTCTCCAACGCAAACAACAAACTACTCCCTTTGGAAAGCCACTAAACTCAAGAAAAAGCCCGTTATATACAGAGCACCCCTCCGACTTACAGATGGAAACTGGGCTAAAAGCGATGAGGAAAAGGGTGCTGCTTTTGCAAATCACCTTAAATATGTATTTACCCCAAACTCCACTTTAACAAAACTTGACTCTCTGCCTTACTCCACACGAAACGACAATATGACAATTTGCTTCAGTAAAAAAACACTAAAAAGCGAAATCAAAAATTTAAATACCAAAAAAGCCCCAGGCTACGACCTAATTACAGCGAAAATGCTGAAAGAGATCCCACAAATCGCCAAAGACCAACTACTTTTTATTTATAACGCTATTTTAAGGACTGCATATTTTCCAAACGACTGGAAGCTATCCAAAATCATGATGATACCCAAGCCCGGAAAGGACCCCGCTCAAGTCACCTCATATAGACCCATAAGTCTGCTTCCAATTCTCTCAAAATTATTTGAAAAACTTTTTATAAAACAACTAATGCCATATATAAATAAGAAAAGAATAATACCTAACCACCAATTTGGATTTAGAGAAAAACACAACACAATAGAACAAGTACACCGCATAGTACGAGTAATTAAGGAAACGTTTGAGAAGAGGCAGTATTGTTCAGGCGTCTTTCTAGACATAACCCAAGCCTTTGACAAAGTTTGGCACGAAGGATTGTTCTGGAAACTTGAGAAACATTTACCATACAATATATCCTCAGTTATCAAAAACTACCTCTCAAATAGAAGATTTGTTATAAAACAAAATTCTTTTGTCTCCAATGCCTTCCCCATCATGGCAGGTGTACCCCAAGGTAGTGTTCTGGGCCCCTTGCTGTACCTGATTTTCACAGCAGACATGCCAACCAGTGACTGTACAACAACATCAACATTTGCGGATGACACTGCCATTCTCAGCCATAGTGACGACCCATTCACAGCCACAAAATCAGTTCAAGACCACCTCAACAAACTGCAAAAATGGCTCGATCTCTGGAGAATAAAAGTTAACGAATCGAAAAGTGTACACATAACCTTCACTCTACGACGAGATACCTGCCCTGCCCTTCGTATTAATGGAAAAGTAATACCACAATGCAATGAAACCAAATACTTAGGAATGCACCTCGACCGAAGGCTTACGTGGAAAAAGCATATAGAAACCAAAGTAACCCAAATTAAACTCAAACAACAAGAACTAAACTGGCTGATAAATAAAAACTCTAAACTTAATCTCACCTATAAAGTGCAACTTTACAACACAATGATGAAACCCATATGGACCTACGGAATTGAACTCTGGAGCTCTGCTTCTCCATCAAACATTGAAAAACTTCAAAGAACTCAATCAAAAATCCTCCGGCAAATAGTCGGTGCCCCCTGGTATATAAAAAACGCAAATATTCATAGAGATCTTCGAATTGACACAGTCACAGATGTAATTACCAGCAACACACAAAAGTACAAAATCAAACTCAGGAACCATCAAAATCCACTTGCAAGCAACCTTACCCAAAGCGCTGGTACACAGCGACTCAAAAAAAACTACATAAACCCGGCTATTCAAGAATAACGCCCGACATGGTAACGAAATTGGACGAAGCTTTGGCTAAGGACAATTAATTATCTACTTTTCTTTTTTCAAATATTTTAATACAGCAATTAGCAGCGAAAATTTATTGTTAGTTCTAAGTTGATTTTTAGAAGATTCAATAAAAATCAAAGTAAAATTTAAAAAAAAAAAAAAAAAAACCAGATTGATGTATTATAAATAATTTGAAATAAAATACTGAAGTGTATGCAATTTACTAATTTGGGAATATCTAATATATTAGTTCAAGTCTTGCTAATAATGGATTTGGGTACAATTATATTTATATTATATTTTCTGCTCTTCTTGATAAGTGTTTTAAACCAGACGATGATGTTTATCTGCAAATTCTCCAACTAAAGACAGTAAGGTTATATATAGTATACTCGTATTCACATAATTATGTTCAGAAGAAAAACCGAGCATTGCATCCTACCTGAACGGTATTCAATTACGCAAACGTTCAACGCCGTTCGGTAGAGATTTTAAGTAGCAAGTTCATATAACACCAGAAAACCGAAAAAACCACCATAATTATGTCGTTTGGATTACTTAAATTAAACGTAATGCCGCCTGACTGATATAACGAAAACTATTAAAAGTTGTGTTAAAATTTGGTCCAAATTTCATCTAAAGAGATCAAATATTTTATGTAATTAGCAATTAGTCTTGATCTATACTCTGCAAAAAGTACATGTAATATTATTTTCCTGCATATTATTTGCTCTCTTTTTTGTAGAGTTTTAAATTATTTCAAGAAAAGAAATTTAAAGTTCATGAGTTGTCAACATATGCATATAATGTATATACAATTTGTAAATAAGTCTATCGCATCATATTTACGCATATGGCATCTAATTTCAGAAGTAAAAAACTAAGTATGAATATAAACGAAAAAGCTAAAAATCCAATTTCTGGGTTTTAAAATTCAGTTGATTCAATACCAAATTGCAACACCTATTTAGATTTTTGATAAAAATATATCTTATGTTTGTTTGGTTAACTTTAACTTTAACTGGATTTCTATTCATGAAAAATTAATAGAATAAATTATTATAGAATATTATACCACTCCACTCGCTCAAGTAAAAGTTGAAATATCTACTAAATACATTTGTGATTTGGATTTAAGTTCTGGTAAAATAAATATGTATAGTATTTTTATACGAATCAACTTAGAAGTTATTATTTCTTTTATGACACTCTGTGAGTACAATTAATAATAATAGTATTAGCTAATATGTATACATTACCGCATTAATTTCACGATCAGTAGCGCTTGACGTAAAAAGTGGTGCTATAAAAAATTGTGCAAACCGATCTAAAGCACCATCCAACTTATCTGGGGCAACATTAAAATGATATTTCGTCATTAACGAATATGTGGCCGCATTACTACTTCCACCATTTTGAGACAGATATGTCGTATAACCGTTTTCATCAGGATACTTCTCAGTGCCGAGGAAAAGCATATGCTCACAAAAGTGAGCTAATCCTGGTAGATAATCAGGATCCGACATATGCCTACAAGATACAAAAATTTGAAAAGTCTTTTTTTTTAATTTGAGAGATTTACCCCACTTGTACACTTAATGCAGCTGCAGATAAATCTGTGTTGATGTCACTTATTAAAAGTACTTTCATTCCATTTTGTAAATGAAGCCCACGGTATTCTCGCACATCTTGAGGCGATTTTTCTATGTCATCAAACCTGAAGAATATATATTATTATATAACTAAATGTTAAGTTAGAAATAAACCTTGCAAAGCAGTGCTTTTCTAATTTTTCGGCAGCATTAAGATTTAAATCTGTGGAACCGCTATCCGAAGTATTTAAATAATTTGAAGACATGTTTCTAAAACTAAGTAGAAATGAACTGCTCCGTATATTATTCTTCTTTTTGATAAACTATAATATGTCATATAAGTATTTAAATAATATAAAAAGTAGCGATATACCGGATGCAATTTTGATATATGTCGACATATGTTGAACCTGTTAAACACGGAGAAATATTATTTCCGTACAAATTATACGGTACCGCAAACACATCTTAGTTGTGACAAATTATCGATAATTCAGACTATCGATAATTTGCACGATGATAGACACAAACTCAAAATTGATTGAAAATACATTTTGAGCAATGCACACTTGCGACAATATGCCGAAATTTCCACACTTTTTGTATATTAAAAACTAAATGAAATTTTGAAATTAATTGCAAAGATAATCAGATATCAAAGGTGTAAACACTTTTGTCAAAACAAAAAAAGTTAGCCCATTACAATATGCATAAATTAATTAATCAAACATTTAGTTTGAACCGAATAAATTCATTTTTCATAAATTTTTTTTAATTCTAATAGGGTATCTATTAATATTTTGTTAATGTGTGTTTATTAATATATTAAGTAATTTCAGCAAATGTTATGATAAATGTTATTGAATAAAATGCCATTGAACGCCTTCAAAAGCCAAGATTGGCGCAAGTTTATTGTTGGATTTTGCTGCTGCTTTTATATCCCTTTCTAGAATGTTTGCTGCTCCAGCGAAATTTGTTCCATTGTCTAAATAGATATTTTTTGATTTTGCTCACTTTGAGAAAAATCTTTTTAATGCTGCTAGAAATTTCTCCGATGACAAACCACCAACTGCTTCCAGATTAATTGCTTTTGTCGCTAAACATACAAAAACTGCTACATAACCTTTGAATGTCTTGAGTGCTCTTCCTTTGGAGCAATTGAATTTAAGTGGTCCTGCATAATCTACGCCAGTATTCTGTAACGACCTTTCCGGCCTCTACCGCGGCTGGGGTATACTCAGCGTATACCAGGGTTCAGTACAAAAAAAACTCAACAACCAAAAAATTTAATAGGCCATATTAAATTACAAATAATTATAAAAAAAAATACATTACACGATTTAACATATTTCAAATAATTATATTTAACTATCATGGATATTCTTAGAAAATTAAATAATACTTCAAAAAAAAACTAAGTAGGTAGATAATTAATGCACTAAGTAATTCATTTAGTTATTATTGCTATTCTGGCAATTGATGCCTTATTGTTGTTAACGTTCGCGCCACTGCTACTGTTGCCGTCGCCGTTGCTGTCCCAGGTGTCAGTTTGATTTTATTACATTCAATGCATTCGATACTTGATTTATTGATATAAAAAAAACGTTCATTGGATATATGTTATTGAAATATAAAAATTGTTAGATGTTAACTCTTTTCTATTGTTTAATTTCGTATTTATAATTTAGTTAGTAATATATTTGAATTTCTTTAAACACTTCATTTGGTTTCCTTTGTGGTTAATAATATAACATATTCTGCAGTAAAGCAAAGGCACTAGAGATGGACATACGTCTCAAAAAAAAATTCGGTTTTTTTATATAATTTTTTTTTTTATTTAAAATACTTGATAGTTGTTATGGTATAAAACACTGTTCCAGAGTATAAATTTATATATTAACAACTTCACGCCGCTTCCGATAATAGTTTCATATATATATCTTTTTTTTTCTTATTTTTCTTGTGTATTTCTTTGCGGATCACTGAAGTTAAACTCTGTCATACATTCTGCCCGTTCCGTTCAAGAAAACTCAACCAAGAAGACCGAAGATCCTCCGAATGCACCTTTTATTTGCTTTTTTTCTAACTGCTTAACTCAGACTTTTTAATCCACCGTTTCGCGGTCAATGCCCTTAATTAAGGTTTTCTACTTCGAGACTCACGAAAGCTTTCAATTATTTTGTTATTGATTCTCTTACCTTGCAATGTTTACGCTGCATTCTCAGCTTTTCCTATTACTCACTGCAACTTTTGGCGATCAAACGAGAATTATAACAAAACAAATTAAAATGACATTTCTCACATTGCAGGTTTTTTGTTGTAATTTTTATAAGCATGTTTGGATGTCAGTGATTTTTTTATTTATTTTTTTTTTTTTAATTATTTTTAAAAAGAATTATTTAATATAAAGTTGGACGGAAATTACTATTTTATTGATATAGTAATCCATATTTTATATAATTATTCTTTCTTAATAATTTAAGCTTACATTCAGCATCTTATTCCACCCAGAACTCCACTGAAGTTATTACGGTGAACTAGTCGTGAGCATTCGAGGTAACGTCCATGAAATATTTATCCTTCAGTGGTTTTAATTATTTATTTATTCCAGTTTCTCATCACTGTAAGATCAATTTTATTTTTACTTCAAAAATTGATCATTACAATTCATAAACGGATATGCTTGTTGTACTCTTATCTGGTAGAATGCCCATAATTTGATATTTTTGGTTATATTGATACCTAGTGCATTTTACGCACTCCCTGTAACATTTTTTAACAGCATTTGTAAGACCAATTACGTAATATGCTTCACGAATGACAGCTTTCATTTGATTAACACCTCCATGCAGAGTGCGTTTATGTATATTTTCTATCACTAATGCACTTAGATGAAATTTGTCCAAAATAATTAGGTGTTTTCTTCCATAAGGAAGGTTTGAGGTTTGTATTCTCCCTCCTACTCTGAGTATTCTATTTTGATCCAGAAAGGGTGCTAAGGGTAGTACTTTGGATTTCATTTTTAATCTTTGTTAATCTTTAAGCAATTTATTTCTTCTGGAAAATCTATTTCTTGTTGCACCTTAAGTATATGAGTTTCGGCAGTTTTGAGTACATCAATTGTCAAATATTCAGGATATCTTTTTTTACGCATTCTTTCAATGGCTCTAATAACATAAGCTATTACTCTTTTTAATTTAAGAATATTGGATATTTTTTCCTATGCCATATATAATGCATCTGAGGAAACATTGATTGTTGCAATTATTGCTTCATCGTATTCTTTAGATTCTTCTTCCGCATCCGGCCAGCAATTTTCAGTTCTTTGTAGCCAAGTAGGTCCAGTCCACCACAATTCATGATTTTGTAAATTTTCTGGATGTATTCCTCTCGATACAACATATGCTGGATTATCAGTAGTCCGTATATCAGTAGTCCAGTTAATGTTAGGTAACAATTTTCGAATATCAGCAACTCTTGATTTTATGAATTTCTCTTTGTTTTTATTATTTTTTATCCATGCCAGAACGATTCTTGAATCACTCCATGCATATATTTGGGCCAGTGGCCTCGCTAGGCGTCAGCGAGGCGACCGCAGACGGCCTCGCGCCAGCAGGGGCCTCGCAAAAAGTTACCGATTGTGGATTCTTAATAAATATTTTGAACAATTTGGTTTGATAATGGCATTAACCATATTCGAAGTATTTCCGAATGTTTATATAGTAAACAGATTCATGTTCACAGTTCCAGTCAGTATAGCTTCGACGGAAAGAAAGAAGCAAAGGTAAAATTGATTAAGACGTATTAGAAAAGTATAATGATCCAAGAGAGACTATTTCCATTGGAAATTCTATAAACTGAAGCAAATTATGATATAATTTAAAAAAAAATTGAGTGAGGCTAAAAGTAGGAAAATTCATTTATTTTAATTTTTGTTTATTTTAATTTGATTAGCAATAAAACTTTCAATCATGCTTTGTTGCATTAGTGAATGTAACTTATTGACTTTTACAACTGGGTTATAAAGGGGGCCTCACTATTCTGATGTCGTCGACGTGCACTGATTTGGGCTTTATTATCTATAATTGGCTTTATTTTTTCAATAAGTTTTGCTAGAAGATGTGCTGCACAGAGTTCCAATTCTGGTGTAGTGTTTCTGCTTTTAATGGGGTTAACCTTTGTTTTGGCTGCAACGATATTAGTTATTCCATTAACGACTGCATACAAAACAGCTGCATATGCCTTATCTGAAGCATCTGCAAATCCATGTAGAACCAATTTTGCTTCATTTGTTCACTTCATCCAACATGGTATCTGTATTTTTTAAATCACTGATAGTTGTTCTATGTACTTATACCAAATCTTAGCTACGTCATCTTTTAATTGTTCATCCCATTTTTTATTATTTAGCCATAATTGTTGAATTAATAATTTTGCCACAATTATTATTGGTACTAGCCATCCCATCGGATCAAATATTTTTGCAATAGTTTTAGTTACCTCATTCTCGGTGATATTCACAATATCATTAGTGATTTTTGTGTTAAATTGCAATGCCACCTTTTTATTGTTGGTAAGCCATTTCTAAGGTGAAACCTATACTTTTGTAGGTGATCTTGTAAATTTTTACATATTTTATTGCAGGTCTCAATTGAATCGTCTCCTGTCAGTAAATCGTCCATGTAGAAATCATTATTAATTATTTCCTGTATCCTATAATTTAGCTTTGAATCACGTGCCATTTCTTGCGATGCTCTTACCGCTAAAAATAGTACTGATCGCTGTACCATAAGTAACAGTTGTCAATTTATATTCTTTAATTGGATGCGATGGTTCTTCCCTCCAAAGAACATGTTGGTACTCCTGGTCTTCTTTAGAAATTTTTATCTGCCTATACATTTTTTCTACGTCTACACCTAGAACAAATTGCCATTTTCTCCATTTAGCAATTATTTCAAAAATGTGTCTCTGTAAGCGGGGATCAACCATCATTACCTATGTCGTTGAGACTTTTACCATTTGACGTTTTGGATGATGCGTCAAAAACTACTTTAAGTTTAGTCGTGTTACTTGAGTTTCAGCTTGATGGGGCATGTAATATTTTCCTTTATTGAACGAACTTTCTGGTTTTATATGACCTAAGTTGAGATACCTTCTCTTTCAT